TTTTAACGCCGATTGTGCTACCCATGCTATCAAGTCGCCCAGGTGCCATTTATCAACAGGATAATGCTCGTCCACATACTGCGCGACTCTCCCAACAATGTCTTCAAGGCTATGACGTCCTACCATGGCCTGCCAGGTCACCAGATCTTTCGCCAATAGAGCATGTCTGGAACGCGCTGGGAAGGCAACTGCAACCGTCCCGAGATACAGGAGAATTAACTGCGCAGATGCAAAGACTATGGCAGGATCTTCCACAGGGGGTCATAAGTGATCTAATTGAATCGATGCCACGCCGAATTTCGGCTTGTATAGCTGCCAGAGGTGGCTTTACTACTTACTGATTTTTAACCTTTTGCAAGCTGTAACCGCTTAATAAAATGATATTTTGTTCTGAATTTTTAATCATTTGTTTATTTTCATATACACTACATGCATACCAAATTTCGTGAATGTAGCTCAATTTCTTCTGGGTGCATATATTTTTTTGCGACAGAGTGTATTATTATAATAGGAGCATTTTTCACAAAAGGAGAATATTTTGAAAATGGGTCATTTTATGTTAATTTTTTTGTCAAAGTATTGTAATTAAATAATTTTTTATTGTATTAATATTCTTAAAGCAATTTTATATACATTTTCTAATATAAGAGACACTAAATAACATATTTATTATCCATTTATACACTTTTGCAAAATCACAGCTCCAAACGTATTCGGATACCTTAAGATCAAAGGTCGAAAAATCGGTTTTTTGCAAATATCTCGTTATCTTATGCTATTTTCTTAAAACTATTAACATATAATATAAATATTGTTGAGAATAACATTTTCTGTAACTTTTATTTGAAATATTTTTTATACATCAAACCATTTTTGAAATAGAGGACGTTCAACGCGCAGTGTTTAGCTATCTACAGCATAATACAAGGTCAACCGTTAGTCATATGGTATAATACGCCTATCAAGTCAATAAACCTTAGAAATATACGTAGTTAAAAACATTTGGCGTTTTTTACTAATTATTATAGTACATTTAGTAATAGTTTTCATTAATCAAGTATATTTTTAATAACCCTCATCTGTTCATAAAATAGTTAGTTAAAAATAGTTAACTAAAACTATAGCCTTTAATTATATTTTAATATATGCTAATTACATTTTAAGTTGAAAAAAATGAAGTACAATTTCTTTAAATGTATAAACCTTCCAATTTGTTTCTTTCTGTACAGATTATACCAGGACCTAGGGACCCCTATTATACGAAAGTTCTATTTATAGCTAGTTGAAAGACAAATGTTTAGTTGTATAGTAAAAACCGATTCCCTTTTCAACAAACTAGTTTATACTAGCCAAGTTTATTCCTTAGTTTTAAATTGTATTTTGGCAACGATGGACGTAAAATTTTGAGAGTTATGGCTGATTTTTACTTCCATTAAAAGGTAGTTTCTTGTAATTATATTTAGTATAAAAATATTTGAGAAAAAATCTTGTAGCTTATTTTTTGATTAAATAATTTTCATTACAAAGCCTGTTTGAAAAACACTTTAATATTCATATAGTATTGTTAATGTTTGGTACTTCACAGTTCTGTATTTCAAAAAAATGATGGATTTATACGTTTTTTAAAGAATCCCAAAATGAAACAAGATGCTATGTAATTAAATAGGCGAATCAAAAAATTCACAATATAGCACTAAAAACAATAATAAAAGAAAACATATTAAAAGTTAATCATGATCTACAGTGCAATACGTTTAACACGAAAACGCTTAAAGCGAAATATTGGATAACACGAAATAATACAACGGGCCCTGACAAACTGCTATGTATTTTCATGCACTTCTTTTTCCATCTTAAAACGAAAAAATTTTCCTTCTGGGAATGAACAAAATACGCGGAAAACACCGAACATTTCAGTTTCCCATTAGCTTTCTGTATTAATGGATTGTCCTATTATATCATCGAAAGAATTCGTTGCAGTACATGATGATAATGTGTGTACAGCCCCAACTATGACAGGCAAAGACATTTTGGAGTGTGTTCAAAGTTCAAAAAGTATCATTGATACAGATTCCGACGGTGAAAATGCATCTCCTGCTCTCCTGTCATCTGAAATAAGGAGCATCATGAAAAAAGCATGAGCATTTACTTAGACGCACATTCAATTGGTGAATTGAATAACAAAATGGACGACATCAAACAATTAGTAAAAAAGACAATGCAAAAATATTATCAGATTATTTTCCAAAAACTCAATAAATATTTTATTTTACAAAAAACTTGAACATTTTGTATCAAATTTAATTAAACACTTGTGAATGTTTTTTTTCATTGATTTTAATTAAATGCATGCATATATACATATCTATGTTAATAAATGTACTTTGATAAGCTTAATTTTGTTAAATATACGGGTTTTTTGGGGGGGGGTTGCAATATCCTTTAACACGAAAAAATATTTCAGTATCCTCAGTTTCATGTTAAACGACAGCCTTATCTGGCAGCTAAATCGTGTAAATTTGGGACATTGTTTTGTACAAATTTTCAAAATTCAAAATAATGCGGATCATTTGCATTTGAAATAAGTTCCTTATGTCTGATTTTCAGTGTAGTATGATGATGCAGGTCAATAATTTTGATTGAGATTTCGGCTGAGTAACAATTAGCGTCTTGCAGAGAAATTGAAAACGGGTCTGTGAAAAGATTAGCATTTATCATTTTGAAAATCATCAATCATAGAACTGAACGAGTCATACGCTGCCAGCTTCATTAGTGAAACTTCTGTTCTTGTTTTATAAGAAACAAGAGGTATGTAATTACTTTTCTGAGTCCCCAAATCGATGGCATTTACCAAAAAAACATGTGAAAATCTAACTTAAAAACCGTTAAGGGAAACAAGTACTGAAGTTCGTATCAATGCTATTAGACCTCTTAAATAAGACCTAAAAATATTATTACTGCATTAAATGCCTTATTTGAATATACTATTAGGCACAGGAAAAGAATGTAACATTCAAATTTTTGTATTCAATTTTAATTTGGCATGATTTATTGTCATGAATTGATGCATTGAAAAAATGATTCAAAATCCTAAATTACACATCGTGGAATGCATTGAAGGCTTAGATAATCCTAAAAAATATTTAGTTTCCCAAATATCTGATGATAAATTTGAGATATCTGTCGATTCAGTAACAACACTTGCTACAGATTTAGATATTGATCTCGAATTTTCCATCTCGAAGCTCAGGAAAAAGGTCTATTTATTTGTTTATGAGGGGAGTATATAATGAACCAGTTTCTAATTCCTTCCAGCAATGCGCGATCTCTTCAATAAATGGACGATTTACCTTGTTATCTGAGTGCTATTCGATATTCTGCTTTCTGTATGAGTTCCACAACTTTTCTGATGATGATCTCATGAAAACCTGAAATGGACTTGAATATTAAGATACAGGTACAGGAGGAAGGAAGTATCGTGAAAGCTATAGATATTCGTACATAAAGAGTGTTTTTTTTTCAGGTATAGAAGTTTAAGTTGGCATTACTTTCCAAGATGGCGACCGATTTAACAGCTGTCAAGTGATTTATTCTCAGTTTGGTTTGGCAATTCATCAAAACGATCATCAAGCAAGGCGTAGATTCGTCGAATGGGCCCAAAACGAGATTGCCGTTGTTCCCGATTTTCATAAGCGAATTTTGTTTAGCGATGAAGCGCACTTCTGATTGAATGGCTACGTCAACAAACAAAATTGCCGCATTTGGAGTGAAGCTAATCCACAAGTGTATGTCGAAACACCGTTACATCCAGAAAAACTGACTGTTTGGTGCGCTTTATGGGCTGGTGGAATCATTGGTCCGTACTTCTTCAAAAATGATGAAGGCCACAACGTTACAGTCAATGGTGATCGGTATAGAGCCATGATTACTAACTTTTTCATTCCTGAATTGAACAATCATGATGTCCAGGAGCTGTGGTTCGAACAAGACGGCGCAACATGTCACACAGCTCGTGCCACAATCGATTTATTGAAAGACACGTTTGGTGACCGCCTAATTTCACGTTTTGGACCTGTGAATTGGCCTCCAAGATCTTTTGATTTAACATCGCTAGACTATTTTCTGGGGAGCTATGTAAAGTCATTGGTCTACGCGGATAAGCTACAAACGCTTCACCATTTGGAAGACAACATTCGCCGTGTATTGCCGATATACGGCCACAAATGTTGGAAAAAGTCATCGAAAATTGGACGTCCAGATTGGACTACATCCGAGACAGCCGTGGCAGTCCTATGCCAGAAACCATATTTAAAATGTAATGCCACAAGGTTATCTTTCGAATAAAAAAAATTCATGTCAATCGAATAATACATCGTTGTTTTATTGCAATTTAAAGTTCTATACCTCTAAAAAAACACCCTTTATATCGAATATTGTTGCACTTATTTTAACTTGCTGGAATCAGGATAGCTGTATGAAAAAGGTTCGAACATCATACATTAGTTTAAACCAACTACTATAAATATGATCTATTTATTGTAATTTTTATCAATAAAATATTTCTATTGCGCAAAAGTTAGACTGATTGTTCCACATATATTAACATTCATGTTTAAAACTTTAAATAACCGGTGCAATTAGTTATTAAAATTTTTAATGAATCTTTTACCTAAAACTGTAACAGCAATCATTGTTCCAGTTCACTTGTCCCAGAGCAAAAATCATAATCTAGAGAATTATTCGAAAATTTTCGAAGTAAGAGACAATTATTCAATTACTACTATTAATTCCCTCTCTCCCTATATCTTGTTCAAATTTTCAATCCTTTCTATTTATCCATTCAAATTCAAATACATTTTATTAAAGTAATAGTGGATGACACTTGATGTTAATACATTTTTTCAAATATTAATTCATTAATTAAATTAAAAAATGAATAAATAGTAACAAACAAAAATAATAGTCCAATAGCATATATAGAAGGGAAAATCTCTTGATGTGTCCCAGTAGCGCAATCGGTAGTGCGTTGGACTTCTGATGCAAAGGTCGTGGGTTCGAATCCTACCTGAGATGACCTAATTTCTGAGAATGCGATTTTATTTCACTATTTTATTAGAATAATTAAATAAAATTAACGAATAAATAGTAACAAAAACAAAAAAAAATAGTTGAACACCACATATAGAAAGGAAAATGAAAAATTGTGTGAGGAAAGTCGTTTTCTATTTTGTCACTTAACATTGTGATTCTGTCATATGGATGTACATATTAATATTAATTGTAGTTATTTAATAAAAAGTAACTGAAATAAATTTTCTCTTTGTTACGCTAAGTAAAGGATTTGACTTAATTTCTTTTATATTACTTGTTTTTTATTTATTGTTAGGTAACCAAACATCGCTTAGTGTATTTCCAGAATATCATAGCTACTTTGTAAGTCTATAGGTCTGATATATCTCTCCTAATAATATTGTGAATGAAAAGGATGATTAAATTAGGTTAATTATAATTGATCGGTCAAAGAATGGGTACAATGTGTAGTCAATTTAAAGTTTTTAATGCAGCTTAGTTATAAGTTAGATGTAGGATTATAAACTATGATTTCGCTAAAAACGTCTAGTTTTAAAATTCAAAACACATTTAATTTCATTTAAAAATTTTAATGGTTAATTGTTGATGGGTTATATTATCAAAAAAGGAGGGGAGGGAACTTACATCTTTTCAATTCCTACTATTAGCTCACAATCACCCTATATATATCTCGTTTAAATTTTCAATCGTTAATAAAATACATTTTAAAGCTCTCATTTCAGCTGAAATTTTAAAAACACGATTATTTTGGATGGCAATGCCGTAATTTATTTGTAATTAATAAAAATTAATTGATTAAAACTAATTATTCAATGAATTACAGATACAGCCACGTTGACATCATTTTTGGCGACTGTGTCAAAACTTTAAAAAGATTTTTTTCTCAGATTTTAAAGCGCTCATTTGAGCTGAAATTTTCTATACACGATTGTTTCGGAGGGCAATACAATAATTTAATTATAATTAATTAAAATTAATTGACTGAAACTAATTATTTAAAGAATTACAGATATAGTAACGTTGGCTTCTGTTTGAGCGATTTTAATGATAATTAAAAAAAATAATTGCCACTTAATGTTATGATTCTATCATATGAATATACATATTTATATTAATCGTAAATAATTGATAAAAAGTAACTAAAATTAAATTTTTCTTTGTTGATCTAAGTAGGAATTGACTTTTTTTTTATATTACTTGTTTGCATTTTATTTTGTCTAAAGCAGTGCTTCTCAAACTTTCAATACTTGCGACCCAATATTCAATCATAATTTTCATCGTGCCCCCTCCATAGAATGACAATGTATTGCATTCGAAAATACGATACTTTGACGCTAAAGCTACTGTACAACTTTAACATATTAAGTGCTTCCGGCATATATAAATTTCTAACTCAGTCAGTGTGTAAATTTCCTCGGACGTATATATACGTCTTTCCGAAAAACGATCTTTTCTGTTCACTGCTATCTATAAAATTATTCCGAAGGCTTTGGAATGCAGTAAAATGAACTTGACAGGGTTTGCGAAGGATTTACTCGTTTCAGAGGATTTTCCTATTTATTCTCCCTGTCTTCTCTCCCCCCCAATACCCCACATACGGTTGTATACGTGCAAAACCGTGGCATTGGGGAGCAAATCGCGAAACTTTTAATCGGATTAATTAGAAACCGTACAAATTATCAAGATAAGTGTTAATGTTCGTATATAATTTTATATATGAAAATATATAAAATTATATACGAATTTTATATATTAAAGCATTGTTTGATGTAACAATTGACAGCGATACAAAACATAAATGATAAGTATAGATAATCGATTTGAATACATTTATTGTCTGTTAAAGATAAGTATTATTATTCAAATTTGATGCTGAGTGTTCACAACTTATTGAACCATGAATTTTAATATTTTCATAAAAATCATTTCAGTTTCGTCAATGCATTGTTTGTTAATTTTTATCCTTCTACAAAAGGGTTAAATGAATACAATCTTCCACTTCTGTCTTGAAATTTTTTAAAGCAAGTAAAAAGAACGAAGAGTGTTAATCTCAAGCATTAAAAGCTTTCAAAATTAATTAAGATATTGGCCTTATCCCCCTTAACACAACTATCTTCAAACTGAAACTAAAAATGTCTGTCGACAAAGATATTTGAAAATTCCTTCCATGCTTAACCTATATCTGAAGAAATCACGGAGACAAACAACGAAAAAAGTATTTCACGATAACAAAATCATTTCCCTATAATCATTTAAACCGGAGGAGAGATACACATCTTCTATAATTACTCTTCATAGAATCGTGAAAATCATTTTTTCTTACTTCAGGCTATATATGCGTTCTTTAAAAAGTCTCTCGGTAAATATCCATTAGAGCAAAGGCTACATAGTTTCAAAACAGTTTTCACTGTGGTTAAAAAAGGATTGTGACTGATTGGACCATACAGTTTCTTCCCTGTTCAGCTTTTTCTTTTGGTTTTCCGAAAACAAGTTTGTTCCAGTTTTCGCACCAATCCAGTCTGACACGTGTCGGTAAACGAACATTGCTATGACGAAGACATGCCGTTATTGTGCAAAAAATATGCAGGTTGTTAATGATACGTTAAAATGCCTTCCTGATCTTAATTAATGGTAATTGCATAATTGCTTCTCAACCTCTAACTCCTGGCATAATATTTTACAAATGATTTCACTCACTGTCACATTAGGTTGTCACGGTATTACCGTGTAACAGAAGGTATTTGTGTTCACAAATAAAGTAACGGGTTCAAAGAGGAAATAAACTTCAACAAGATTTTTTTTTTAAATTTCTGAAGTAATTGATTTTATTGATTTGTTTTTTACATACAAGATCAAAAGGTAGTAATAAAATTATCATAGAATAAAGGTTTCTGGACCGTAACAGACTGATTTTATCTATTCCCAATGTTTAATTCTGTACAATAAAAAAAAACTTATTTAACCATAGCTTTGAAACTTGTTGATATCATATCAAATACCTTCTGCTAGATTTCTTCCAGAGAATCTATTTATGATATTTCTATCTATCTGTAAAATGCCTCACTCTCATAAAACATCATATGTTAAATTTTGTCTTTTTTAGTATTTAGTAGAAGTTAATACATTATATGGCACACACATTGAAATATATCATTAAGACCTTTAATATGTCGTAATTTTGCATAAAAAAGTTGTTTATCTCGAATATGCTTAGGCACTTTTTCAGTGTATCATAATACTATAGAGAATGTTGCCGAATTCGTTGCCAAATACACAGCATGGGGACCATAAATCATCAAAGAAAATGGGGTCGCAAACCACGTTAAGTCGATGTAATTCGCAAAAACAGTTGTGACGGGTGTGATATCGAGTGAAATGAAATGGGGCAATAAGAGGCAAGAAATACAGTTATTAGACATAAAGCATGTCTACAATAAGAACAATGCGTCACAGCTCGACGTTAGAAATACAATGATAAGTGATTGTCAAAGGAATTGTTATATAGTATATAGAAGTTGCTGTCGTGTAGGTTATAATACAGCCGGCACCAACGGACGACGGATTATTGGAAGTGTTCAAACAAATACAATGTGCTGGCGATGTCAGCTAAAGCAACGACGATCTGTGTAGTGAGTTTCTTCACTGTAAGCACTAGCGATTCCAAGTGACCCCAGAAGAAGAAGTCCAAGTATTGAGGTGCAAAGAGCTTGGAGACCGAACATCAAGCTTACCACGTCCAATCCATCTCCTGGGATATGCAACATTGAGGTGTGGTTGCGCATCGCAATCGAATAATGGGCAATCGAATAAACCACATGTCCTGGTGCACAGTTGCCGGTTCTCCCTGCAATAACTCCTAGGAAACGTACTGTAGAAAAACAAGGCTCTCTGCGCCATTGATTCACTTGGGCAGTATATGTATATCCCCTTCGTGATCTATGTCGTGAGATTCTTCACTGTAACCATCGGCGCCTCATACGCAAACAATTGCAGGTGGTCCCAGAAGATGAATTCCAGGGAATTGCGGTCCTAAAAGTATAAATGCTAAGAAGCAGGACCGACGCATCCGATACACCTACTGGGATATGTACCAGTAGCATGAAGGTGATTACGCACCGCAATCGAAAAATGTGCTGGTGCACCATCATGCGGTGGCCGCTGTATCCTTGTGGTCAAGGTAACGGACTCGTGGCTGGCGTGTCATAAGTTCGAGCCTAGTACCACTGAAGACCCGCCGAATAGGGGAGCGATGAACGTTAAATCTGTCGAGAGCTCAAACGTCCTCCCATTGGTGTGGTGTGAAACTTAGGAGAGGGGGTACCAGCTCAGGTGTCGCCCCCGTCTCTTGACCATAATTCAAAATTACGAGGTCAATCGCCAAAAGCCCTCCAGTAGCTGAACAGTGCCTCAATAATCGGTATCCCCTGCGGGAACTCCAGGAAAACGTACTGTAGGAAAACAAGGCATCTTGCGCCATTGAGGCTTTCGGGCAGCATATGTATATCCCCGCATTTGTTTGGCAAATCCCTTTAACTGGCTCATCGTCCTCTGGACGACAACGATTTTCATGATTTTCACCCACTAAACGTGGTTTGAGACCCCCTGTTCTACGGGGTTTTGTTGTCCCCATGCTGCCTACTATCACTCCTCCAAATTTGTCGGTCGAATTTGGAAACACCCTGCATATCTTTATGTCTATATTATTATAAAATAACTAGCGAAACATGTATTTAAGCTATTAATTTTAACAAAAAAATCAGTTTTGATCCAATTTAAAACTTACTTTATAAAGTTACCTTAAAATTTCTCTATTTCATTTGAATTTATAATTTTTTTTTCAATCTTCTAGTAATTTGTTAACTAGTTTTTCAATCAAATCTTAGAAAAAATATCTGAAAGGCTGTGAACCCTTACTAATTCGGACCTTGGTAAATCATTGCTTAGTACGGACAATCATTTTTAAAAAAATCGTAATTAATTTT